TACTGTTTCTTGGCAACAGTGGCATAACTCTGGGATTGCACAAGTATAACAATCCTACAAATGGCTGCTTTGCTTGCAAAGAATCAACTTGTTAATTGGCCTAGGACTTATGATAAAAAAATGTGCCCAGCAAGTCTTGGGGCGAAAGTGGCGTCTTCAAATATAGGTGACCCAGACCCAAATTCTTAAAAAATATACATTGTGTCTGACGGAATAATAGAGTTGTCAATCAATCCTGGGGAGATTTCTTTTTCGACAGAGCTGGGGTAGATTTATTCTCGAATTTTTTTCATCGGGACTTGCGGAGCCACTTGAAAATAATCATTTCTTCCCACGTATTTTCTATGTATTGGCGTTAGCCGAATTTGAGTTGTCAAGAGTTCCTATGATTTAACTGGGTGCTGAAGTGTTAGGAAATGTAAAGACACTTTTGCAGCATTATTTGAAAATAAAAATTCACCCAGACGGTGTTAAATAAACTTTGTGAAAATTCAAACAACTACTTCCATTTCCATGTACACGTACGTTCAGGAATTAAAGGTCGAATTTTACGTTGAATTTGCTAAATGCTATATTTCAGTTTGCCGTTAAAACGTTTGCTAACACAAACAATAAAAACAACCCCATGTCGGCTCTGTTTCAGCCTAACAAATGAGTTTTTAATGCAGGTGTAGCTCCAAAACAATGCTTTATTAAAAATTTAAAAAATTAAAAAAGCACAATTTATACTTAAATTCAACATTAGTTTTTCCAAACTATAATTATGTTCTTGATAACGATTGTAGTTATGTTCTTTTTGAGGATGAGAAATCGCTTACGTTTGATGTTTTGAATATATTTGTCTCTCTTGTCCGCAGATGGTTGAGCCCCAGATTCATTTATTTACTACTCCAGTGAAAAATAAAAAGTAGTTTATGTACTGCTGCACTGTGGCCATGGCTTTGTCAAAGACCTCCCGATCTTTCAGTTGGCGTTCCTCCGCGGTGAGCTCGGTTTGTTTGCTGGGCGGTAGTTCCCCAGGGAGTGCTGCTGGTATGACAGTGGATGTCAACGCACGGGTGCACGGTGCCCACAGCCGCACCACGGGGTTCATGGCTGAATGGCCGGGACAATAGGACGTGACAACAAGGGCGTGCAACTTGCAATGCTTGAAGAGGCGGCCGTAATAGATTTCGTTCACCACATGGTTAACGTTGAAATCTGGTCCACCGTCAGCAATCATTACAAGGAGTGAACGGCCTTTTGCCACCTCCTCTGCTATCTTCAGATGATTGACCATGTCGTTCATGTGTGTTGAAACATGACATGCGTTCTTTGGACTCCGGATGACAACAGTCGCCTTTGACCTTTTGGGGGTTCTGGAAAAGAATGGAAAAAATGTCAAAATATATTATGTCAGGCTGAAATTGAATGGAAAATCATTCTTGCAAAAGAGGATTACCAAATTAGCACTGAAAGAATCGTATCAGCAAGGTAATTCAGGCCTACAGGAAAAAATGTGACGCATGTTCATAAAACGATCAGCTGAAAAGGATTGTTTCAGTCGCACGGCTATTTAACTGAATTAACTTGCAGAAACTTCTCGCAACATCGATTGTCTTGTTTTCGAAGACCTTCTTTAGAGTTGTGTGCACGTATAGTTGAGTTTAACCACACTGTCATTAAACTGCTTCAATACATACATGTACGTAACCGTGGTAACCGTGTAACAGCCAAAGATCATGTTCAAAGTTGAACAGTCGTTCACTTTTAGGAGGCTCCTGATGTATGGAAAGAATTTTCCCTGTTCGGCAATACATGTACTCTGTCCCAATCATTAAAAAAATG